AGCCGCATGGTGGTAGCGACTGGCCATTGACACGCCCTTGCCGCAGTACTGCACCCGGAATTGCTCCATCAGCTCGGTCCATGATTTCTTGACCTTCCTGGGCAACTGGAGATACCATTGGCGCGCAGGGCCGCTCATTAGATCGCTGAACTGCCCGCACACTTCTTCGCCCGTCATCCCGTCGCGCCGCGCGGCGGACATCAGACGGTTGAGCCACAGCCTAGCCTTTTCTTCTCCGGCATCTCGTCCCGAGAAGTCCTTCAGCTCCGATGAAGCCGAGAGGCGCGTAATCCCGACACCGGCTGTCGCGGTTGAGACTACGGCCGCGGCTCTCGGCGTCCCGACATCCAAGTCAAACAGATCGTCGGGGTCCTCGTCGAGGGACGCGACCTCACGGACTCCATCGCCACATCGACTGTCTCTTGGGGACGTGTAGATGCTGTCGCAGGGTGTGTCGGCTACTTCGACTTCACGGGGACCGCGGGCGTCTCGGCGCATGGGGCTCGCATCATCGTTGTTTGCATCAACTTGAATATAGACTCCTCCAGAGCCTTGGGGATCGCACCCTCGGCTGGTTTCGCAACCTCGGCGCGTGCCGGCGCAGCGGAAAGCTCCATAACGCGCGGGGGTCCGTTCATGGGCATGCGCTTCGGCGACTCGAAACTGCTGTCGGAGTCCGCGCTCGACTGGTACCGTGTCGGAGGTGACGGCGAAGCCGCCGAGGGCTGGGCCAGGACCGTCGCAGGACTCATCACATCTTGACCCGTCACGGATATCGCCGCATCTCGTTTGACAGACCCAGCGAGAATCGTCACGGGCTCCAGCACGACGCGGATCGCGCGTAACCAGGACTTGAGATCCCAGTCGCACAGCCTCTCCATCTGGAAGGCTCCCAGAACAAAGCCCGAGTCGCGCAACATCTGGAAGAGGGTCGGCGCGGCTTGGGCGACGCTGGTGATACCGTCGATGTCTGGCGCGACGAAGGGGTCCGTGAAGTTGCTCATCAGCATGAGCTTGAGAAAGACCAAGATCGGGTCTTGCTCCAGCAGCCGGAAGAGCTCAGTGCGAGACACGAGGTACCGCACCTCTTCGATGGTGTACTGGCGCCCCGCGTCCTTGCCTTGCGGCTTGGACAGCGACTCATCCGCCGAGGCCGGCGCGCGAAGTTTCTTCTTCTTCTTCTTCTGCTTGGACAACTTGCGCTTGGTGGTGGCCTTGGCGGTGGGTTGTTGTTGGTCGTCGGCCTTTGCAGGCTTCCGACCCGTAGGACCGCGACTTGCGTCGCGGCCCTTCGCGGCTCCCTCGTCGAGAGCCGCATCGGGAACGGCAAACTGTTCTTCGTAGCCCTCCTGGTCGTCGCTGGCCCCGTGGCCTGTCGTGAAGGTTCCCTCAGAGCTCCACGACGCGACAGGTCTCTCACTGTGCTCTCTTGCGGTCGGCGACCTTCCCGCCGACTGCGCACCTGCCTCCGATGCCTCTTGGATCGTTGGCCCGTCATTCGAAGTAGTACTCCCGGGTCGCGGCACACTTGTGGAGTAGCGCCCTCACAGAAATCTCGCGAATGCGATCTCGCACAAACTCGGCGCGTCTGGATAGCGGTCGCGCCGAGCAAATTATTCCCGGTTGTTGGAGTAGCGTATCTCCGAAATACAGGCCCAAGTCTTCGCAGGCATCAGAGTTGGGGGGGGGGTTCTTGTGTTGACGCTTGTTCCTTGTCGTAGGGCGTCGAGCCTCGGGCGTGCGGCGTTAACGGGCCGGCGTTTCTTCGGCGTTCCCGTCGGGCGTGCGGCGTTATCAGGCCGGCGTTTCCTGGGGCTTGTGTGGCGTTATCGGCGGGGGTCTTGTGCACGGCGGTTATCAGGCCAGTGCGGTCCTTCGCCTAGGCAGCGCGTTATCGGGCGCCCACCTAAACGGTATACGTTTAACGTGCCTTTGTTCCAGCACGGGTCTGTGGGGGGTGAGCACCCGAACCAGCAAACGACGGGGGGCCGCGATATCGAGGCAGCTCTACTTGCCGGCGCTTGGTGGTTCCCCTGGAACCTCGGAGAAGACGGGAGGTCTTTGTGGTTCAGAGAAATTTCGGGACTGAGTCCTTACCCTATCCTATGTCCTTGCTACTGGCTACTCTGTACTACCGCTTGCTAAGCCTACCGCTCTGGGCCTATCCCTACTTCTGTCGTGCTTGCACTACCGTCCTTCAACCTGATTTACGCGGCGTAATCAAGATCTTACCTCGGCGCGTTTTTCAGAACCGGGCGCGCTGGTTGACCCGCCGGATGATTATGCGTCGCACTGGATTCTGGCACCGTGTCTCACGGCCCATCACCCACGCCGACTTTCCCGTCGAGCTCGGCCCTGCGTCACGCCCATCAATCCGCGTCGCGTTTCATCAGCCGCGTCGAGGTCCATCACTCACGTCCCGGCGCCCGGAGCGCCCACTTCTTCCGCGGGGTACTACTCCACGCAACTCCTACTCGTCGGGCCAAGCACAGCTGCTCCTGTCAGCGTAGATGGCGCTTGAGAGAAAGCTTTAGCAGAATTCCTCCGACGGTACATGCGTCTACGGACTCCTCATCGGCCCGTTGGCGTGGATGTGGGTGTACCTGGACAGCAAGGAGGGGCGCTTCTGCCGGACATTGCTTCAGCCGGACGACCTACAGCCAAGTATCTACATGATGGTGACGATCGCGCGTGCAATCATGTGGGAAAGTCTCATTATCAAGACTTCGCAGCAGTTGCGAACAAGGACCATTTACATCGCGCACGTGCACCGCAGCGGTGTAGACATGAAGCAACGCTGGATCTCCCAAGGATTATGATACATCAATCGCCCACCATGCTGATCCATGCTGGATTGGAGGTCTGGTCGGATGAAACAGCAGGGTCTACAAAATCGATTCATTACACTGCCCCATGATTCGCTAACAACCTCAAACATCATTTTTAGCGATCTGTGTCTATTCGAATCAAGTTTTAACCATCACACCGCGTTCTTCTTCGTCATGCGTCGTTGCGTCTTTAGAGATGGAGAGAATCGGAAGCGGTCCGCTGGAGACACTGGCTACTTCACACCGCTGCGGTGTGTTATACTCCTCTCGAGTTCTGAGCAGCTGCTTACCTTCGTGTCATACTGGATACTACAACTGTTACTAGCGTTAGCACTGTAGAAACAGTTTAGAACGTATCATTTTTAACTGAATAACGCTCGTTACATAGTCCTTATTTTTTATGCTTATTGGTCATCTACAGGCCACTTCAAAAGTGAAAAAATCTTGACAATTCCTGTATTAATTTTGTCAAACTTCAACGCCACGCTTGCCGCACGACATGGACTTGCTCGTTGGCGCGATACTTCGATACCGGGGCGCGAGCTGCCCCCATAGTAGGAAATAGAAGTAGTTGAATGCGAGCGCGACTGCGGTTGAGTGTCGCCCGCTGGAAGCCGTCTGATGAAATCCCTCATAACACCCCACACAGGATAGAGGTAAAACAAAATAGTATCATTTCCATATTTAGGGCTATATTCATAATCACTACTCAGTATTAATGTATTTCCCTTCTAGACAGCTCATGGGTGAAGATACTGAGTTGTGACCACATTGGTAGCATAAACGATGCATATTCAACACCGGAAATGTCTTTCTCTACACACCATTGCGGGCATGGACTTCAAAGGGTAAAAACGCTTTGACGTTCTGTGTGGGTGGTCGGGTCGGACTTGTACGCCGAATGATCCACCGGCTTTCTCAAAAAAGTTCAAACTAGTAGCGACCACCCACCATAAATGTACATGTGACCCATCGGGGCAGCCAGCCAACCCACCTAGACATTCGTTGTGCAGTGTTCGACCACGTTAAGTAGCATACGACTTACCCCCCCCCCTTTGCGCTACTGCTTCCTTGAATACCGATGCTGATAATGCCTCAGCAACAAGCTGGGCGTCCACGGGTTCGCCGACTCGGTGGTTACCAAGGACAGCCAAGAGCTCATCATCGTCGAAGCCAAGCGTCAGGCAATTCCTACTCGTCG